ATGAGAGGCAGAAATTGTTAATAATTTGTGAATAATTTTTGAGAAAAAAGTAAAATGTGATTTTTTTGGGGGGGCACAGTTTCAACCTAAAGAAATAGTGATTTGGGGCCTCTGTATGCTTGAAGAACCAAATAAGCTCCTCACAAGAGTAAAGACTTGGTGTTTGGTAGCCATAAAGCAAAACTCCTCATACAAATTCAGTGAGGCTTTTTAGTAGCATTTCCCATGACCTATTTATTATAATCTTATGATAATCTATTTAAGGATGAATGCAAATTTATTATTGAGTACAGAGAATAAATGTTATAATGGCTAGTAGTGGTCAGGAGACAATCTTGTGACACTTCCATGATATTTTAACAAATATGTTTGTCAATAAACCCTGGCACCATGTTTTTCATTTTTGAGAAAGGGTCGATAGAGTATTTGATCCCTTAGAGTTTTCCACTGCGGAAGCAAGTATGCCCAGGAAAATAGGCAGCAAAAACCTAATCATGAGCAGAAAGCTCATCTCTTAGACAGAGGCACAGGTCAGAGGGGAGAACAGGGGAAGCAAAAGGAAAAACAGAACCAATGCAAAATCTCTGTATGGTTGGAAGAGATCAGAGCTGATCATGGGATAACACGAGCGATGTCAAAGGCATTGTCATCTTTGGGATGACCTCCTAAGCCAGGGTACCTTCTGACCAACCTGAATAAGCAGCATCAGCCCTCCAAGTGTGTACTCAGTGCTGAGGAGCATCTTAGGAAGCCTGGCTGGGAGAACGGAGGACTGCAGTTCAGCCTCAGGCTTGGTGGTTCCTATTTGTTACTTGACTTTAGACAAGAAACCCTACTTGGCTGGCCTTCAGAAATGTCATTTGTAGTGGGGTGTGGTGGCGCACACCTGTAATCACAGAAACTCAGGAGTTTGAGGCAGGAGGATTGCAAATTCAAGGCCAGCCTCAGCAATTTAGCAAGGCCCTAAGCAACATAGCGAGACACTGTCTTGAGATAAAAAGATGTGGCTATGTGGCTCAGTGGTTAAGACCCCTGGGTAAGGTTATTTGGAGGTAGATGTGGTAGTCTGGCATAGTATTTAGAACCGATACATCTCTCAGAGATGGACCCTGCCCTCCAGAAGGTCACAATTTTTGGATGGGAGCTGGCCACAAACAGGCCATTCAAGAACAGCCAGTCATGGATATTTTTTAAGAATACTAAATGAGTGCGTTGAACCTGGTGGCTTTGAGGATTCTGTGCTTCATCTTCTGAGGAGTGGCTCAGCAAGTTGTAAATGCTGTGGGCGTGAAGACAGAATGCTCAAATGATCATGGCCGCTTTCTTTTTTGTCTGGGTTCACAAGTAGGAGTACCTGTGGATGCCTGAGCCTCAAGATGAAGCCACTGGAGGAGAGGGATGAAAAAAAAAGCCTCACAGCTTTTTGCATTAAAAAAAAAAAAGCCTCTCCATTCCTAAAGAAGAAATCTAGCATTTAGAACTTTTAAGCTTTTATTTTTTTTTTTTTGGCATTAAGTCCCAAGTGGTAAACCTCTGTAACGATATTTTATCAACCTGAAAATTCAACTTGTAACAAATGAAAAGTAAACACTTTAATTCTATAAGAACAGAAGAAATGCAGCCTTTTTAAAAGAAAGAGCTCTATCAACTCAAATAGGAATGGTCACACGTAATTTTATCAAAATTCACTTGTATTACATGAGTGCTTTATTTTCGAATGGTAATTTAAAAGACACCAGAGAGACTGAATTGCACAAGACTGTGAGTGATTACAGAATGCTGAAAATATCAGGCCTGGTCTTCCCTCTTGTCTGTGTTGCATCTGTGGGCTGCTGTGGGGACTGTTGAGAAGCCAGGCCTGGGTCCTCAGAGCATCACCCCAGGGAACCTGGGAACGCACACACTGCTGTTAGTGTTTCCCGCAGGCACCATCACGTTTGGTTGCACGTACAGAAAACCCAGTGTAACACGGGCCTGGGCAAGACAGATGTTTAATATTTTCTTCTGCAAAAGAAAGGCTGGGAGGAAGCAATGTGGCTATTAGCAAGTCCAAGGGCTTGATGAAGTTGTAGGAGAATTGGATTTCTACTTTTTAACATAAATTTCCTGAATGTGTCTTCTGTCTCAACATAGTTCATAGCCAAAGGTGGCTGCTGGACCCTCTACCTTCCCATCTGTGTTCCAGACTAGAGGAAAGACAAAGGGCCATGACTTAATCAGTTCTCCCACACCACCTGTAAGAGTAGCTGAGAGCCCAGCTTGTTGCTGAGGGCAGTGTCCCCAACCACTTGGGGTGGGGTCACTAGGGGACAAGGGCATAATGGGTACTTCCCACGCTCAGATGCACCTAAACAGGGATGGAGAGACGGGAGATCCTGCTGTCCTCTCCTGCCTCTTGCTCCAGGCAGGCCTCTGCCTTCCGTGTGACTGTCTGTCCGGGTTGTGGAGCCTGTAAACACAGACCCCCTGTTGTTCTGAAGCACCAGCTAGTGAGCCTGTTTAAAGTGTCGGCGGGAACGAGATGGGCAGACTTGTGCCTCTGGTGCACAAATAGCCAGGCAGGGAAGAAAGTATTGAGCTTGAACTGGGTGACTGGGTAAGCAGGGCGCAGAAGCACATGCTGATGCAGGGCACTTTGAGAGGAGCCTAAGCTCGCTTGGAAGAAGAGGAAGAACATGGCGGAGTCGCTCTTCCGGCAGAATTCCCTCTCCTAATTGTTTTCCCTGATGCTTTTATGCCCTGCCCCATCATAGTCTCTCAAAAGAGGGTTTCTGACCCACAACTGCCTGTCCATCTGAGCCCACTTTAATGTTTCCAGGGTTGGCTTCACATGGACGCTCCCCAGGCCCCTTAGAAGGTACCACAATTAACTGCTGAGGGACACAGGGTACCTGGCAGGGTCTGGTTGCTTCATGCTGCCTGGGCACTGGCTGCACTGTCCCACCCGCGCAGTTTCTACTGTTGCCCTCTTATTTTCTGTCTTGGACACAGCAATAGGCTCCAGGCTGGCCTGCCAACTCCACCCAACTCCCTAACCGCCCCCCAAGTGGCTGCACACTTGTGATGATGTTCCAAGGAAACATTGTCCGGTCACTCTTCCAGTCTGTGCCGTGGAATTCAGCTGCAAATTGTGGCTTAAGTTCAGAGACCATTCACACAATTTCTCAGGCTAGAATGTGTTTCTGCTATCTCCCCAGCATGCAAAGTCCAGGCGAAATGTTTTATAAAACCTTCTCTCATCAGTGAAGCCAGGCCCTAGGAACTCCATCAAGACCACTTCCTGGAGACGAAGGACTGCAGTGTCCATAAGGAGAGGAGTTTTTTTTTTTTTTTAATTTTTTTTTTAGTTGTAGGTGGACCCAGTATCTTTATTTTCTTTCTTTATTTTTATGTGGTGCTGAGGCTCGAGCCCAGTGCCCCACGTGTGTGAGACAAGCGCTACCGCGGAGTCACAGCCCCAGCCCCAGGAGAGGAGTTTGTCTGGACTCCTCCCTCCTTCCCTCTCTTCTCTCTTTCCTTCCTCTCTCTCTCTCTTTTCATTTCCAGCTCTATGGACAGTGCCTTTAGCCTGGTGGGTGGTCAGTAACACTTACTAAGTGAGTAAATAAATGATAATCAAAAGAAACAAAGCAGGAGCTTGCTGCCTGTGGCGGGCACCCTCTCCACCGGGTGGTGGTTCCCTGTGTCCCCACCAACAGGACAAAGTGTGACTGACTAAGGTAGAGGGAAGTTTCACCCTTTATGACGCAGACTAGAGATTGGACAACTTTTGTCGACGCAGCGGCAAGTAGGGAGAGAACCATGAGGTGTTGGCACATCTGGCCCGATCACCCTCGTGTCCAGGAAACGTCACGTGTCCACCTTGCTGCCCGAAGTGAAGGAGGGCTGTCCAGTACGCAGGCTCACAAAGGCTCCCTCACTGGCGGGGGAGGTAAGAGGCAGCAGCTGACATTTACCATTACTCCTTGTTAGGAGATGGATTGTGATTTCTTTGAATAAGGTTATTTTGACTTAGAAACCTAAATCTCTGAATTAGATAAGTGCTCAGAAAAAAACAAAATAGACTTTTTACCCAGGCCACGGGCTAGAGAACTGAAACACAAACTGTGCTTTAAACCAGGAATGAGTCTAGTTTCTGAAATTGGACATCCTAACATGAAAAGCACCGTTTATCTTCTGATCCACAATGACCCAGAGGCGAACTGTTGGGTTATAAGTGCAAAATGCTGGGATCCATCAGTGGAGATTCTGCCCGAGGAAGCCGGGACATCCCTCCTGCTGTAATGGTGTCGCTCAACTTTCATTTGGCTCAGTGCTGCTTTATGTGTCATAGTGTGATGGGCCAGGGCACAGTTTGCAGCTTACATGCGCTGTGACTTACATGTGCTCCTTTCTCACTCCCTATTATGAACCGTGGCAACGGCTCAGCGGATTTCCCCACACCTAGAGCTGTCAGGAAACCCTCTGAGCATTCCATCAGAATAATTGTTAGCACAATTAGAGTGACAGCATCGAGCCTGGTGGTGTCGGGGGTATTCTTTAAGTACAGCCCTCTGACTTCACAGGCAGCCCCTTCCCTACAAGCCAACTCAAATGCATGCATCGTCTACAGGCAAACTGTGATTTCTTTGAAATACAGCTGCTAGAGAAGCCTCCCTGGCCCCATCCAACCAGATGGCCCCTCAAAGAAATGTGGGAGCTGACAGTATCACCCAGGCTTTCACTCTCCTGTCCCCAACTGTCTTAGAAGGCCAGATCTCAGCTATGCAGAGAATATCAGTGACGTGCTCCTTCCTCCCAGGGTGAGGGAATGGTAACCATTCCTGATGGGCACCAAGTTACAGGTTAGGAGGCAGGATAAGAGACTAGGATAATTGCACCTAGTGAAGATCAAGGAAGGGACAATAAATAGTTTCTAACTGCACAACACAGGGTATGCAGCGACACAGCCTTGTAGGAAAGCCTGGCCCACCCGGGCTGGCATTCCGTCCTGCCACTCACTAGCTGTCCTTTGGACAACTGTTTTCATCCTCCTGAGCCTCTGTTTGCCCATCCATCAGAAGGCAGAATGAGCTCCCGCCTGCCTTTGCTGTGGGGAGTAGCTGGCACACCTGAGGTGCAGTGCCTCCCAGAGGTGGTGCCAGGGCAGCAGCAGCATTAGCAGCAGTGACAGGAGCGACAACACCCAGGACAAGGAAGGTGGTGCCCCGCTGCTCCCACCACGAGCACGAAGGGAGAAAGGAGACCCTGGCAAATCCTCCGCGAGGGTTACTCAGAACACAGGAGGTGACTCCTGAGTGTGGTGGGTGACAAGCTCTGGAGGAGTCTGGGATTCTTCTGTAATGGCCCTTAAAACAGAGACCCCTTTCACCAGGGGGCACTGGCCATGGTGTGGATGGCCTGAAGGCAGCGAGAGATGGCTGGCCTCCGAGGTGCCTCTCTGCACTTTTCTCATATTCGGTAGATAAATGTTCACGACCTATGACCATCTGCTGGGAACCTGAAGTTTTAAGTCACATTCAGAATTTCGGAATTTCTCTCTGTACTCAGACTGGAAAACAACTTGACCCTGTATAGTAACCACAAAAGGATATTTTACGTAAGAGATCGTTTCCAGGTGAATAGAACTATTTGAAAGAGGCGCCATGGATGGCTGCACACTCCTGAGTCAGGCGTTTTTTGCTTGAGCACTTTGGAGCTTCTGCCTGAACTCCTGGGAGCAACGCTGGCCACTTGTGTCCCAGCACCCAGCACCCAGCACCCAGCACCCAGCACCCAGCACGCCCGCAGCACACAGCGAGGCCTTCACGTGGGAGAACTGACAGCAACACTCTCCCCTCCCATGAACTATCAGATACAAGTGAAAGCTGGCACACACCTGCCGAGGTGCCATGCTGGCTTCTGGTGAGAAGAGCGACCTCAAAACCATGTTTTATTAAAAGGAAAGCACCAACCGGAATTACAACCCCACTAACCCGAAATTGGCACGCAAGTGTGGCAGATAGGAGAGCAAAATTACTGAAGATTCTGACGGAAGGAAGGGTGGCCTGACCTTGGCATAGGATCCGAAGCCTGGCGACGCTGGGGAGAGAGAAACTCACCACATCACTAAAGAGAAGACAGCAGCAACGTCATGTTTCTAAAACGGGACATGGCATCTTTGTGACCAGGGATCCAGTGTGCCACAGTCTAGCCTTGGGTCAGGAAGATCAGGGCTAATGCTTCTATTCTGAGGAGCAACTGCTTTTGGAAACTCCAAAACTACCTATTATTTTTGACTTTTTTATTGGTTCATCATTGGAATAGATATTTAGAATTGTGAAAAAAATTAGTGAGAATCTAGATCACTCTATTATTTTTAGTTTCAAAATAACTTCTTCTGATTATATTGTACATGGAAGAGGCGTTAAACAAAGAGGATAAAGAGAAAAACACAATCACTACTGACCACCCTCCCCAGAAGCAGTCACAGCTGCCATGTGATTACATCTCCCAAACACACATCTTAATGCAAAGTTAAGACTACACTATATATGTTTTTATACCTTGTTTTTTTTTTTTTTACTTAATTTTGTATTGTGATGATTTTATCATGTCCTTAAATAGTCTCCACTCATTTAAGTAGCAACATAATCTTCCATCACAGGAATAAAATATCATTTTATTTATAAATCAAATTCTATCATTTTCATATAGGTGGACATTTAACATTTTTTCACTATTAAAAACAGATTCAAAATATCTCAGTACTTGAGTCTCTTTCCATTTTTATTTCCTTAATTTTCATACCTAGAATTAAAGTGATTCAGTAAAGTTTGTGAATGTTTTGCAATCTAATTGGCATACAAATTTCTGTTTTACAAATTAGGATTGAGCCCAAAGAAGACTGGCATTTTCAGGAAGTCATAGTTCTAGGGCTAGGAGTGTCCCCTGCAGCCTGCTCCCATTCCCAAGCTCAGAGCATGCTGTACCCCTGGGGAGCCTCCACACGTGTCAGGAAGCAAGAAGCTGTGAGAACCAAAGTATGTCACATTCTTCTTCCCAGAAAACCTACTGTGCAGGAGTTATGAGGCACTCTCAGATATTGAGTGTGCTAGTGTGTGTGTGTGTGTGTGTGTGTGTGTGTGAATACAAATCAAAATCATTCTGTGACCTGGGTCAAAGAGACATTCTCTGGGGCAGCTTAGTGTTTACCCTAATGTCTAAGCAAAATGTAATTTCTGGCAATTAAAGTAACAAACGCCCAGTTCTCTTTCTTGTATTTTTGGTTACTTCTATTTAGAGAATTGTGTGTGAAGTTGGGGTCAGCTTACTTTGGGTGAGGGGGTAGTATCTTCCCAGCTGATTAAGGTAGGGTTAACTGCAATCCTCTGATGCTGGCTACAACTTTGAGACATTAAAAAGCACTTTGTAAATTTTAAGTATGTACCAAAAGGCAAATGGCCTTGTTCTAAAATGATAACTGTGGCTTAATAAAGCATAGAAGCTGAGAGCTTCCTGGGATCATAATGAAAAATACCTCTATGTTTGGAAGATAATTTTGCAATTTGCATACTTATTGGGGCCCTGGCTGAGGAGAAGACCAAGGGCAAATACAACCTCACTTGGGGCAGGTCCATTATCTTTGCATGACAGGTTGATGGACTTCTTATTTATTTTGAAATAAAAATGACACCTTGGTAGTCTGTGGGCTACCCAACCCCTCCCTGTTGTCATGGGGAAGCTGCTTTCCCACACTTGGGGTGTCTCAGAGCAGGGCTAACCCTCTGGGCTGGCTGTGGTCAATGTTCAACAAGGAACTCAGCTCCCCCAGGAGGGCAGAGTCCTTCCTCAGTCTGCATCTCTCTTCTCCTTTTGTCACTCTTCTGTGCACACGGATTGCCCGTCACTGCCAGAGGGCCGCAGCTCCCCGCACGGCCTCTCTCCCTCTCCTGACAAGTTGGGGGAGAGTCATTCTTGCCCAGGCCAATCTGCATTTGATAAGAGCAGTGATTGTGCTTTTATTGATATACCATTGGGAACAGACAAGATCCTTTCTGTAGGGCCGTAGACTGTGTGATCTTAGGCAAGTTGTTGGTTTAACTTCTCTGAACTTCAGTTTTCTCCTTTGTAAAATGGGAACAGCAATAATGCCTCACTGCAGCTGAGATACACTGCCCAGTGCACAGCTGGTCGCTGCCAGCTGTTCTCAGCTCTAGGCATCCTGGCTGTTCCTGCGTGGAACCCCTCCTGCGATCCGCATTTTCCTCTTATCTTCACTACTGGATGTCAGCCTTCTTTATCTTTCTCAAAAATTCTTTCCAGTCAACACTGCATTATAATGACTGCTCTGTCAACCATACGACTTATCACTGAATGGATTCTTAATGTAGTCACCAACATGTTCTCCTTTGCTTTAAAAATTATGGTTGAACCTGCATTTTTGATCTTTTAAAACATCCAAACCAAATTAAACCGACTATCTGATGTTTCACCAAAAAGCAAGTCTGGGGCTGGGTGTGGCTCAGCCTACCATGTGCGAGGTCTGGGTTCCATCCCTACCACTAAAAAAAGAGGAAAGAAAAAAAAAAAGCAAATCTAATCATTTCTTAGAACTTTGCAATAGAGGTGAAATTGCCTAGCTTCTATAGTTTATTTGATGAATTGACATTTAGGAGTGATGTTATCAAGTAATATGAGATTTCTTGATAGATACAGGCTACAAATGAAAAGGAATGGGAGAATGAGAGGAGAAATACAAAGAGAGGTTTAAGTGGTTAAAAACAAAAAGTAGGAACTGGAGCCAACCTGTAGGTCAGAGGCGAGGCTTAGAGTCGGCTTCAGAAAAGTGGATACAAACCCCAATGCATGGAATGTGCACGTTGAACAGTGACTAGTGACTGTTGGGGACAGAGGTCAGGCACACAGGAGTCTCTCCACTAAAGGGTGTTTTTACTGTTTTCCAGGTCACAGGTGCGAGAAGCACACTCAGAATTCAAGGCGAGGTCACTTGAGGCAGAGGGTCCTAGGGTGCGGTAGAGGAAGGCATCCTTGAGCTAGGCGGAGGGCAGTGCAGTGCCCATGGGAGCAGAGGGTTCTGGGTGGTTACGGAACCCGGGGTGGCCGCCTGGTGGAGTTGAGAGCTCAGGCACAGGACCCTTCTCTGAAGGCTTCCACAGGGAAGTGTCCTTCTTCATTAGCAGTCTCAGCTGGCCATGTGCCCGCTCCCTCTCCCCAGGACAACGGCCTTCTTTCCTGTGGTGGGCTGGACAGGAGCCCCCTTCCTCCAGAATTCCTAGAGTAAGTCCTGACTCCCATCCCTCAACTGTGGCTGTATTGGGAGACAGATTGATAAACAAGGTCCTTAAGACAAAAGGGAGCTGAGGGATGGGCCCTTCAGAAAGAGGTGAGGACACAGGACTCAGACTGAGGGACAGCCATTCGAGGACACAGAAGGAAGGTGGCCATCTGCAAGCGGGGGACAGGTCTCAGAGGAAGCCATCCCTGCTGGCACCTTGCCCTTGGACCTCTGGAACTGATGTTGCCGAAGCTGCCCAGTCTGCCGTGCTCTACCCTGGCAGCCCTCTCTCACACCCCCAAGGCCCGCCGGCTGCCCTACCGACCCAGCTGCTGGACAGCACGTGGCTTCTGAGTCCTTGTCAGCTCCTTCCAGCACATCTAGCATGCCCTTTCGCCACACCCTCCTGTAATTCCTAGTCTGAGATCATCAAACCTGGAGATCATGAGATAATTCCTCTGCCACAGGAGCACAGCACACAGCCTCTGAAGTGGGGCCAAATCCGAGTTCCCAACACCTTCCACTGTTCCCGGCCAGTCACCACTGTGTCCAGCCCTGCGGCCATCCCACAGCTGCATGGCTCATCATGAGGCACCAATTGCACCCCTGCTCTTCTGCTCAACAGTTGACCCTACTCTTTACTTCATTTGCATGCCCCTGCAGCCACCAGCACCACACTTTCTCTGGCTGAGGAAGGGGCTTCCTCCCCTCTCTAGACTAAGTTCCTGAATACAGAGGTGGATCCAGCCGTTGGGTGTAGCTCAGTGGAAGAGTGCTTGCCTTGTGTGCTCAAGGCCCTGGGTTACATCGCAGCACTGAAAAAACAAAATGTTCAATTCGCGTACCGTGGTTGACTTCATCATAACTCAGGGTGGAACACAGTATATCCCAGTCACCACGGTTTTTATTAATAAAAGTTCAGCTGGGATTAACCTTTCATCCAAACCAATGCTGCTTCCCAGAAAAATTGGTAATCAATAACAAAATTAGGACTATATCCACCCTCTGTCCTTCTGAGTTCCAGAAGAAAGAAGAAATGAGTGCATGTGCTAGTGCACCACATTAGCTGTAGATCAGGCGGCTCTCATCCCAATGTCAACTCCGTTTGCAGCTGGTGCCGTCAGGGCAGTAACTTTCAAACTTCCAGGCTGTAAGTCAGTCACATTTTGTGCTAGAATATTATGACCACAACCTCCAGTACTCTGTACAAGTCCAGAGAGGAA